ACAAAGAGATACCGTTACGTTTAAGGTTTGCACAATTCAATGCAGAGTAAATAAGAAGAGACCATTTATATATTAATTTTCATTAATTTGTTGTTTGTTTGTTTTTTGTTGTTTGTTTTTTTTTTTTGTTTTGTTTTTTCTTAGCGGCGGACTCTTTCTAGCAAAAACAACAGCAATACGGATGACACGGCAACAACTTAGACCTGGAGCAGCATTGTCTGCTGCTGTTTCTGCTGCTGCTGGCCCGCAGCGGCAGCCCGGCTCCAAGCCAGCAGCCCATTGGCAGCAGCAACCTCTTCCATCTGTACATCGGCATTGTCGTTGACAACTCCTCCATCATTGCTGCTGCTGGCGGTGGGCGAGGGTGTGCGCGTCGGCCTGGCAACTACAGCTGCGGGCGATACAATCACCGAAGTGGCAACGCTCTTAATGCGCGGCAATCTATTGATATTATTGCTGATGGTGTTGGTGTTGGTGATGCTGCTGCTGCTGTGAATGTGATTGCTGCTGCTGCTGATGCTGCTGTTGCTGCTGTTGGTGATGCTGTTGCTGGTCTGTGGTTGTATGTGGTGTATGCCATAGCGTTTATTGGTTTTGATAGTGAGCGAGGCAGGCAGCTGTTTGCCCGCCGCCACCTCGGCCGCCAATCTCACCACAGTTGTTGTCATTTTGGCAGCAGCTGCTGCTGCTGCTGATGTTGCTGTTGATGTTGCTACTTGCCGCAGTGTCGCCGACGCATGGGCTGCTGCCTCCGTCGACGATTTCTGTCGCTTTCAGTCACCAAAGCGACTGCAAGCCTTCTTCCATCGGCACTGAGTGCACCATTGATCGCGTCGCTCCATGCCGTAGACCTTGCGGCATTTCTTGTTCTCGCCGCGCGTACGTCGGTTCGGTGAGTTTGGTGTGTTCCTGGCCGCGCTCACCGCCTGCTGCACGGCCACATGTTGCAGTGGCATGTGCTGGCCGGAATTGGCAACCAGATTGTTGCTGGCAGTTGTCTGTTGCTGGCCGCGCAAGTGCTGCTGTTGATGCTGCTGCTGCTGCTGCTGCGGCGGATTGTAGTTGGCCGTGATTGTCACGCCAGACAGGTGGTGTTGTTGCTGGTGCTGCTGCGCTTGGGCCACCCCTGTGCTGTTGTGGCTGTGGTGTGCCGTCACCGTGACATTCTGCTGCGACAATTGCTGCAACATGTTGTTGGCACTGCTGTTGCTGTGTATGACCGGACTGCTGTTGCTACTGCTGCTGTTGCTGCTATTGCTGCTGCTGGCAGCGCTGCCAATGCTGCTATTGCTGTAATTGTGATGATGATGATGGACGTATGTCGGCGATGGATATGGCGCTGTCGAGTGGGACGGACGCGACGACGATGCGCGTGCCTGTTTGTTGAGTGTCGCCGAGCTGCTGCCGCTGCCGCTGCCACTGCCACTGCTGCTGCTGCTGCTGCTGTGGTGCGCCTGGTGGGTGTTCGTAGAGGATGCGCTTACTGTGATCGCACCGGTGGATGGCCAAGTGTAATTGTGATGCGCCAGCGGCGAAGTCGGTATGCAGCTCGTGTTGTTGCTCTGCAGCTGCTGGTGCTGGGTGCTTGTGATGTGACCATTGCTGCTGCTGCTGCTGTGATGTAGCTGTGCCTGCTGATGCGTTAGGTGGTGATAGTTATTCATAGCGCGTCCTTGTCTGTATCAATAATAATAAAATTGGATTGTAGTCATGGAAAAAGATCGAACTAGATATTGGATAGATCTGCTTACTTGAAGTTGCCAACGATCTGTCTTTGGTATTCTGGATCCTCGTGCGGCGGACGTGCCATGTCCCGGTGGCTGAGCGTGGGTGGAGATGCAGGACTAGGCGTTTTGACCAACTCGTCATCATCATCGTCTTCTGTGTAATAAAATTCCTCTTCGTGCTCATTATCACTGCAGGAATCGTTATCGCCAGAGCGTCTGGCTTTTTTGCTGCAAACGCAAAAACATTTTCATTGATTAATTCATTATCGCATATTGATATGGTGTTGTTTTTAATTGATATTGGGCGCCAATTGCTAAGGCAACATCTCGTGCGTCTCATTTGCCGAACGCGCTAGAGATGAGCATTAAAGTCGCAGTCATGTCTCAGTTAGCTACCTTTTTTGCGCAAACAAACTATCAAAAACTATTTGTTACCAGTATCTAGTGAATAAGTATTACAAAATATTTAATTAAATAATTGATTGCTTTATTTAGTTGATGTTATGTTCTAGCATATATTTAATAGTCACGCTCACGAGTGCCATTGCGGTTAACAATTGACCATCTCTAAAGCAATTAGCTCGTGAATGACTGCGACGTTGCCAGCTGGTGACATAGAAAGTGGCAACGCTGTCGCACACCTATTGGCAACGCCGCAGCCATTCACTTGCTATCGCTAGTCACACAGCTGCAGGGTTGTAGCAACGTTCGCAAAAAATACGCACGTTCTGAGTCAAATCAATACGAAATCAACAAAAATCGATCGATTTTTGCGATACCCGCAAGACAGAACGCGCCACAAATTGATATTTATTTGCCAACAACATAAATAGTGTACAGCACACGCATTGCTCGCGCTCTCCGCACATAAAATTGCTGTGGAAAATTTTTGCATTTCTGTCGTTTGCGACAGAAAAAAATTTGCGCGTCGCAAGAGTCTCGCGTGCGTCTGTGTCTGTCTCTCTTTGCGTGTGTGTGAGTGTGTGCGTGTGTACTTATATGTGTGTGCTTTGCGTCCGCGTGCATCTCACAGCCTACATTGTCAATTATAACGAAAAGCATTGTGATTATCACCCTATTCCTAATCCCCACAGTCAGTAGCCAGCCACAGAACAAAACAAAATGTCCACCAGCAGCAGCAGCCGCATCGCCATTGAGCAGAATAATAAATGCGTCAACAGCGTCGCCGCGGCCCTCTGCCCGCTCAGCAACTGCCAATTCTCGGGCGTTGTAATAAGCGCAATTTCCGACGAGCAGAAGCTTGAATTTAACAGCATATACAAGAGTAGCTGTACGTTAAGCTGCAGCTATGATTCCCAAGGCGTGTTGCTGCGCATTATGCTGGGTGAGCCCCACATCTCGACCTCAACTGCCGCATGGCATTGACCCTGTTTTTCTCGTTTTTGCAGACAACGATCAGGGTCATGTGCTGAAAGAGTACATGATATCAGCAGACACTGATGCGGCACAGCTGGGCCGGCGCTGCTATGCTGTCTCACTGGAATCGGACAATCTCGTGCTGCGCTTTGGCAGCGATAAGGATCAACAGCTCTTCCGCAAGGTTGTAGAGAATGTGAAGCATCTGCGACCAAAGTCTGTGTTCTCGCAGCGCACCGAAGAGTCGTCCGCATCGCAGTACTTCCAATTCTATGGCTACCTCAGTCAGCAGCAAAACATGATGCAAGACTATGTCAGAACGAGCACTTATCAGCGGGCCATCTTAGGCAACTCCATTGATTTTCAGGTGAACGCCACTTTTTGATTGCAATCGAAATTTCTAATAGCTTAGTTAATCTTATTAAATTACAATATAACAGGATAAAATTGTGCTGGACGTAGGTGCTGGTTCGGGAATACTGTCTTTCTTTGCCGTGCAGGCTGGCGCTGCCAAGGTGTACGCCATTGAGGCGTCTAATATGGCTCAATATGCACAGCAGCTGGTTGAGTCAAATAATGTGCAGCATAAGATCTCAGTGATACCCGGAAAGATTGAGGAAATTGAGCTGCCCGAAAAGGTGGATGTTATCATATCCGAGCCCATGGGCTATATGCTGTACAACGAGCGCATGCTGGAAACGTATCTGCACGCGCGTAAATGGCTGAAGCCGCATGGCAAAATGTATCCCACTCATGGAGATCTGCACATTGCGCCGTTTTCGGATGAGTCGCTCTACTCTGAGCAGTACAACAAGGCCAACTTTTGGTATCAATCGGCCTTTCATGGCGTCGATCTGACTACCCTGCACAAGGAGGGCATGAAGGAGTACTTCCGTCAACCGATTGTGGACACCTTTGATATACGCATTTGCATGGCTAAGTCGGTGCGGCATGTGTGTGACTTCCTTAACGACAAGGAAGATGACTTACATGTCATTGGTAAAACAATTGATCAATTTTTCAAATTATAGTCAATTAATAACATTAATTTTATTTAGACATTCCGCTCGAATTTCACATATTGCAGACTGGCATCTGCCACGGTCTGGCTTTTTGGTTTGATGTAGAGTTCAGTGGTAGCAGCCAGAATGTTTGGCTGTCCACTTCACCGACAGCGCCACTGACGCACTGGTATCAGGTGCGCTGTCTGCTTCCCATGCCGATTTTCATCAAACAAGGGCAGACGTTGACGGGCCGTGTGCTGCTGGAAGCCAATCGGCGGCAGTCATATGATGTGACCATAGATCTGCACATCGAGGGCACATTGATATCATCCAGCAATACACTCGATCTGAAGAATCCGTATTTTCGGTACACGGGGGCGCCGGTCCAAGCACCGCCGGGGACTAATACGCAGAGTCCATCGGAACAGTACTGGACGCAGATGGACACGCAGGGCAATCGAAATTGTAGGTTGTCTGCTAAGGCTAATCCCCAAAATTTTGTGTTTTTCTAATTCCTACTGCGCTCTCTTGCAGCTAATAGCATGCTAAATGGCGCCCTGACTGTTAATGGTATGGGGGATGGAGGCATGGACATTACCCATGGACTCATGCATCCGCACTAGGAACAAGCGATAAAATTTGTTGAAGAAGGCAAATACTACAACTTGCTGGCGCAATCTATTTGGCTAAAGATATGAATTGAAACTAAATTAGCACAATTATCCATTAGTTTTTGTTTTACGCTTCTTTTGTTATTTAATTCTGTCCAAAGTTTACCTCTTTTTTTTCTGTTTTTTTTATATATTTTTTTATTCTATTTATATTTTGAAAGAGATTGTGAATTGTTTTGTATGCACCGAAAGTTATAAGATTTTGATTTGAAGTACTCGAAAATTGTTCAATCCCCGCCTAGGCATATGTTGTAGATATTTTGCACATCAATCGGTAATAACAATAAGCAAAACGAGAATCGATGAGATCTTTAAATATCGCATAGATAAACAATCAAGGCAGACTAACGTATGTAGTTGTTTAGAACAGCAGCATATAATCGATAAGGATAATTTTAGCCCCCCATAGCATTTAGAGTTTTTAACGTATGTGTGTTATGTAATACGAGTATCTTATATATATTTATATACTATAATAATCAACGTAGATTAACTGCAGCTTCAGGAAGTTTCTTAGGTAATGCCAATTGCAGTTTTCAAGAAAATTTAAAAACAAAACAAGCTTTGAACAAAAACGAAAAGAAACAAAACACCAACTCAATAATTAAAACTGTATCTATGTATGTTATATTATATTATGTTAAGTATATATCTTTGTATTGTATTTCAATTATTTCATGTACCTCAACGAAATGAAGAACCTAGTTTCAATTGTAAAACGGAAATTCAATGGTTATGCTTAGTTTTGAAGTCATAACGAATTGCTCATAGATTATAGCCATTAAGTTATAGTTATTAATATATTTATATGAATTAGTCGCGCTGAGAGATTATACGTTTCAATTTAATTTCCTTGTTTTCCTCCATTTTTTCCCCTGTTTTATATTTTTCGTTTTGCAATTCTCACCTAGTTCTACTTATATAGAAACAACAATAGCTCCTACGTCGCTACCAGCCTGCCAAGCGCATAGTTGACATTATGAACATATACATATAATAGTGCATACATATATAGCATATAAAATCATAAATTATACATATTTATATATACATACATACAGTCAAGTATGTGCATTGTACTTTTTAGTGTAGCTCTAGAGCTGTTCGTTTGCCAACAACAACAACAACAATAAACTCAACTACCACAACAACACCACCAACACATATACAATACATGCAACTGAATACAAGTATAAACTATAATTCTATATAAGTACATACCCATGCATCTATGCAGAGAAAAACAAAAACAAATTTGAAAACAGAACCTAAAAAACGGCCTTTTATTTGATTTTTGTTCATTTTGTGAATCACCCCTCGCTGCCCAAGCAATTTATATAGGAAACAACATTTAACATTCGCAAATGTCAACGCTTAGCGGCCCGCGCCTCGGACCTTGGCCTCAAAAGTGCAGCGCTGTCGCCCCCAACAAGCCCCAATAAATGCCACGCCTCCCCGTACGCCTATGCCATTTGCGCCACTTGCAATACAGGTGCGGTAAGTCAACCCAAAATGTGTGTGTGCATGCGTGCGCGCGCGTGTATGTGTGTGACCTGGTTACTGCACACATACACACACATGCATGTGTACACAAGTGTTCTATTTTAAACAGCTCGAAGCGGCTTGCACAGTGGACTGAATGTGGCGTTTAATTTGCATGGAAATGGTGGCATATAAAGATAAGAAAATTTCTTTGAGCTATTGTGTGCACAATAGGCAACATTTTATATAAATTAAATTCTTCTGAAATATTTTTCTTGTATTTCAATAAATTGACTCATAGCTAAAAAATGTTTGAAGATATCAAAAGAAAAGCAAAATCTTACAGTTCATACTAAGAATCGTGCAAAGGCTGGGAAATCAGTGAAATTTGTGCATAAATTCTAAATACTTTTGTTGCTTTTCATCCCCAGATTTATGTACACCATTCGGAAGACTTCTATCGATTTAAGCCCGAGCTATTTCTATCCACTGTGCATCAATTGTGACGCGCGCTGCATTGCTGCTTTTGTTGTGCTTGTTGTTATTGTTGTTGTTTTTGTCGGTTGCACTAAGTCAAGGCCCTGCCACTTGCTGCTCTTGATTGTAGTTTGCCTTTGGCCGCTGCCACCTCTTGGAGCACCCTTTAGGGGCACTTGAATGCACTGCTTTTTGCTTGCACTTACCCCAAATGTTTGTCCCGCACGTGTCGTTCAATTTTCAGTTGTGTGGGCTCCACAATGCCGCATCCTTTCCAGGTACAACGGAATTTTTTCAACTGCAAATACAAGAACAATAACATTTTGGATTAGACAACTATTCCAACTGACATCGAAATTAACGCTAATTTAGTATAAAAATTGCTGAGCTATTTCTGCGTACTTGATGTTGAAAGTGGGCGTGAGTGGGTGGTGTGCCGGCGCGCGAGGATGAGGATGAGCGGCAGCCCGGGCTGGCTTCACTTTCACTAGCGCCACGCTCGCCATACGACTCGTAGTCACTGCGCTCCACGTAGTAGTTCAAAGCAGTTGCGTGCATGGCGAGCAACTTCAGCTGGAGGAGCTGGAGCAGGAGCACGAGCAGGAGCAGGAGCACCAGTGAACCGGTGCCGGGCCGGTGCTAAATGCGACTGTGTTGGTGCGGACAATGCAACTGGCTGCGTGGCTGTATGGCGGCGTTCGCTGGCTGGTGGCTGCCCGGTTTTAACAGGATGCGCACACGAGCATCAAACGATGCCGCGCACGAGGATGCCGAATGAGCTCCGTTTCCATTCCGGCTGCACTCTGCACACGCTGCACTGATAACACGGCCCAACCGCCCGCCTTGCCCTTGCCGAGCGCCTGTCACAATTTTCCAAGCGCGCGCCCATTTACTGGGTCAACTTGGTCTCGCCCCGATCCATGTCTCGCCGCTCACCAACCGCCGCCCCTCATTCGCCTTGACACGCTTCTCACTTTCGCTCAAAGAGAGCTTTGCATTATTTGGCGGCCCTGCGACTGCAATTATGCTGCGCTTTATGCTGAAGGTTAGGACGCTGGCAGCGCTGTTGACCCAGTTCGGCGGCTAGCTTTCTGTGATTTTATTTTTCAGTTTTTGGTGTTTTGTATTTTTGATTGCGTCCTTGCGTCTGTTTGTTGGGGCACAGTTTTGTCCTTGTGTGCTGTGTGCAATGCTGCACAAATTGAAAATTAAATTTTGCTTGTCAAGTGATTAACAATTTGTTTGGCCAATGAAGTGCTTTATTTAGCAACAGAAAAGGTTATTTATTTCTAGCGTTTAGGTAAATAAACAGCAAGGCTGTTAGCCCATTTTTCCAAATTTTATTTAATTTAAGCCTGAACCTAAAATATATTTTTGTCTTTAAAGGGTTTGATTTATTTGAAAATATTCGTAGACACCTTTATGTTAAAAAGGAAATTGAAAAATTTGATTATATTAAGACAAAATGAAGTGAAAGAAATTTTAAAAAGCAAACTTGGGTTAACAGAAGTGGAAGACCAGGTGCAGGCACCAAGCCGTAATCTATTGGAATAGTGAACTGGAAAACGGAAAAAGATTTGCAGCCATGATTTTCAGACTCCATAGCTGCTAGGATAATGTAGGAATTTCGCTGTCAAGTTTCAACTCACATCAAAGGGGTGGCTAGCGAACCTTTTACCTGGCAGCTTTTACTGATTTATGTACACATAATGCCTAATAATTTTTTTTGTTTTTATTAATTTAAGTTTTATGCCGCGTTTATTTTGAACGCTGCCTTTAATTAAGAGCTTGTATTCAATAATTTAATTAGGGAGCTATTTTAAGTGTTTTGCTTTTGTTTGAAACCATAACTCACAGCGTCTAATGATGTCTTCCAGAGCCTTGAAATGTCTACTATTGAGCTCTAAAACAATCCCAGGAGCACGGGACAACAACAGCAACATACGTGGGTTCCCGGTCGAGTGGCAGAAAACGAAAGCGAAACGAAAGCTGCTTACCGCAACGTAATCATAAACATAAATAACTTCAGCTACATACTCAGAAACACAGACTTTAATAGAGCTGTGTGTGTGTGCGTGTGTGGAACATTAACTGCCTGAAGCCTGCCTGTGGGTCTACACATTTTTCGTTTTAACTCGGCGCAATTAGTGGGCTCCATAATTCGTTTGCGGCCAGCGAACGGAGCGCAGGATATGGCGCATATCCTGCTCATAAATATTAACGTGCACATATGTATGTGTGTGTGTGCGTTCAACAATTGTTGCCATTTGTGCCAGCTGCTGTGCTGTGCAGTGGCAGCTCTTAAGTTTTCGAGTTTTGGCAGCGTGTGGCTGGCATATAAATAAACAAGTATTTATTTTCTATTATGCGAATGCTTCTGGACGTGTGTGCCTGTGTGTGTGTGTGTGTGTGTCAAAATTAGCAAAACAAACAACAGGAATTGAATTCGTTAAAAACTTTGATTAAGTTCACCAACAGACAAAGCCGCGTATACGCAATTTACAGCACACGGCGTCAACTGGCGCCGCTGCTGCTGCTGTTCCTTTTATTGGCTTTAATTATTTTTAATTAATGCGCCAACAAAGTCGAAAATCATTTTGGCTTATCAATTTCTTGGCAAGTCAAACTGCCAAGGCAACAATCCGCGTACATGCGAGCAGTTGCCACCTGCCGTGTTGCATAAGCCCAGTAAATGATGGAGTCTGTGTTCATCTCTTCTCCTCCCTCGCCCATTCTCTCGCTCTCTCACTCTCTCTCTCTCTCTCTCTCTCTCTCTCTCTCTCTCTCTCTCTCTCTCTCTCTTTTTCTCTATCTATGTGCGTGCGTTAATTATGTTGCGTTGTCTAATGAGCTGCAATGGACGGGGGCCAACAGTCGTTCGTCTACTAATGAAAGAAAACAACTGAAGTTTCAGTTAGCATTTGCCGTTGCCAGCCCCCGCCCTCTAGAGCACAAGCATCCCCTAAACGGCGGCACACAATGGCCGCTCTGTGCTGCATGCCACATGCCGCCTACCGCACTGTGTCCTGATTTGGCGCCTGGACCAGCGCGTAAATAGTGAGTGTACGGAAATGCCAGGAATAATACAAATCTTGTTTAAGGCAGTCTGAAGTTGCAGAGAAGGAGAGAGCTAAAGAGGAGGAAACGAGCAGCTAGAGTGGGAGAGCCCAAGGAAATCCATCTGGCATTCCTGTTTTGCCTGAGGCTGACTACAGCTACGTATATTATTTTGTGTGCGTGGTTGTGTTTTCTGGAGCTGCTAGCTGAGTGGCATCGTTACGACTGCCTTATCCTGGTTACACGCTGTTGTTTGCCATTTGCCCGGCGCCAGTAACAGGCGTGCCTGCGCCATCAATACGGCGTAAGGTTATAGTGCCATATATAGCATATATATATGTATACATTATGCTATATATACACGTGCTTTGTGTGCGTTGAGTGAACTGGTTTAATCTGCTTTAATCGGCAAGTTGCCTGTTCGCACAAATATACTGAGATACTCTGAGCTTTCACATGCACAGAGCACACCTATGTTAAATTTAAGCAAAGCTCTAATGATTTGCTGTGGCAGCAACGAAAAGCTCACTAATACTAGTGCGCGCCTTTGTGAGCTTTGTGATTACTGATGTTGGCACTTATTGAAACGCTTGACTGCAATGAATTTCATTAAAATTCTTTTTACAAGTAATGAAATTCGTAAAACTGCGCTATCAGCGATTCGTTGTTGCTTTATATGTAATTTCCTCTAGCTTTCACAATCAATGAACATTTGCTTGACAGCATAAAGTAACCAACCCCGCACACACACTCACACAAATACATACACATCGACAGACTCAAATTTACGTGCCTTGTATAAATAACAAGTTTTTTCTGTGTTCGCTTTCCATTTTTGGCCGCAAACATAAACAACCCCACACCCAAAAGAGTCGAAGCGACGAGGCAATGGCAAACAGAACACGGAACAGCTGTGGGAAGGACAACTACGGAATTGGGTCAACTGTATATAGCAATGCGAGCGCCTGAACACAATCCACAAACAAACACAAATATATGTACAGATGTGTGCGAGTGCGTGTGTATATAAGGTAAACATATTTAACTGAGGGTTGGCCCTGTGCCTGTAGCTGCCCCTGCCCCACATGAAAGGCGTCTGTTAACTTGCAAAAAACTGGGCCAAAAAGAGCGGCCGGGCCAATAACAGTGCCAGAGAAACCTAACAAACAGAATGCGCGCGCATGGTTATATCTGGTCAAAGAGCACGACAAGCCATTAGCAACTCTCTTCGAGAGAGATTCAGAGAGCGGCCAGGCTCGAAGAAGAAGAGCGCGCCTGGAACTGTGTTTGTTTTGATTTGCAGCACACGAATTGGGTCAGTGGAAGCTCATTTACTGCGGCTGCCGCTGCCGCAGCTGCGACTGCTGTTGGGGCTGTGTGCCTCATGTGGAGCACTGGAGCCACGTGGAAGCGGAAGCATAAATTATTGACTTTTGTGCAGAGGCGGGCAAACGACTGCCTATAAATAGCACACTTCGTGTGTGTGTGTGTGTGTGTGTGTGTGTGTGTGTGTGTGTGTGTGTGTTAGGGAAGTCAGCATCAGTTTTGCTGATGCTGCTGCTGCTGCTGCTGATCCTGCCGCAAAATAGAGAGCGTGTGTGCAATGCCCCAAAGGCCATTCATATTTCCTGTGTGCTTGCGACTTGAGCACTTCTTTCCCCTAGTTGCCAATTTGATAGGCAGCTAGCTTAAACTCGCTCAGCCCCTGCCCCGCTGCCTAATAAGGCTTATTATTATTTTTTTGTTAAGAACAACATGCGAATCGCACTCACGGCGAGGCTTATACACTTCAACGCCCACCTTGGGACAAACGCGACTTGAAAGTCAGCAAAGCGCACAAAAGTAGGCAACGAAATATGTAGTCCTTATTATCCTCGGGCCAGCTGGCAATTTTATGCGCACCATTAAAGCTGCTTAAGCGCCTGATGGCAATTTCCGCTGGTTTGAGCATATAATTTGCATTGCCAGGACAACCCCGATGCCATGGGCAACGTATTCCCGCCACTCCTACGCCTACGCCTATTTAGACATGTATATTTATATAAATGTATATAGTATCTGCAAATGCAATTGATTATGCTACATTTTGACAGTTGTACCTAAGCCTGTCAAGTGTCGGCCCTGTGTAATTTGCATGTGGCTTGCGGTTGGCTCTTAAAGCCTTATCGCAGTGCCAACAGGCTACAACAACAATAACAACAACTTGAATTGGATCATCTCAGATGATAAGAGGCAAGCAGC